AGAATTGTGTACCCCACTAAATTGAAAGTATTTGAGAAGGATGGACAATACAAGTTGTTTGATAACCCGCAAGCAGCAGCAGAGGGCGTACGAGCGTACGGCGTTACGGTGGATATCCCAGCCGCCAAACCAGACTTTGAGACTACACTAAAGGCAGCAGGATGGCAGACAGCAGGCGCTGGGAAGAGGAGGACGAGGGAAAATTAAAATGAACTAATGGAAAGTGTCAAGACATTACTGGACTCTGGGAACCGGCATAGAAAGGACAAGGACTAAACGTACGGGTCTGCACAAAGAAACACAAATGTGTAGGGGTTTGCATCCCGACAGAGGGATAGGCTACAGCCACTCTAAAGATGAAAATGACTGAGATGGTTGGGAGTCAAATCCTCACAGGTTCCGATGATGAAGAAAATATGTATGATTTAGATGATGTAGACCCTGAGAATCACTTATTTAGTTATGTTGGAGACACTTGTAAATACTATAGTAATGAACAAATTAATGATAATGTAGAACTGGACAATTCATTTTCTCTTATTCACTTTAATTCTAGAAGTATGTACGCAAATTTTACGGACATTAGGGATTATTTGGACACATTCAATAATAAATTCAAGGTCATTGCGTTGTCTGAAACATGGTTGAATGAAAACAGAGGCTCTGATTTTTATCTTGAGGGTTATGAATTATATCATGTAAATAGGGCCAACAAAAGGGGTGGGGGTGTGGCCTTGTATGTTGACGGTAAGCTGGGGTGCAGAAGGGTAGAAAATATGACAACTACAATTGATTATTTAATGGAATGCTTGACGGTGGAAATAGAAATAGAAGGAAGGAGAAATGTTGTAGTTATGTGTATTTACAGAACCCCTGGGTCTAATGTTGAGACGTTCAAAGACAAGTTGGAAGAGTTAATGAAGAGATTAAATGATAAGAGTAAAACATGCTTAATTTGTGGTGATACCAATATTGATCTAATTAACGTATTAAAACACAAAGCAACATCAGATTTTTTGGATACATTATACAGCAGAGGTTTTTACCCATTAATCACTAGGCCTAGTAGGATTACCACGACCAGTGCAACTCTAATTGACAACATTTTTATTAACACACTGGAGAACGACATTAAAAGTGGACTAATATTTAACGATATAAGTGACCATTTACCCATATTTGTAACATACAAAGATAGCCAAATAAAGACTTACAGAGATCAAAAATGTCCAAGATACAGGAGGGTAACAACAGAGGAAGCAATAAATAAATTAAGAAAGGACCTTCTAAGTGAAGAGTGGGAAGGGGTATACGTAGATGGTGTGAACGATGCATATGAGTCTTTTCTGAATTGTTTTCTATTTCATTATGATAGGCATTGCCCAATAACGCAATGTAAAAGCAAGAGTAATTACAATAAAAAGCCTTGGATAACAAAGGGCTTGCAAAATGCCTGCAAAAAGAAAAATAAACTTTATAGAGATTTTATTAGATTTAGAACAAGAGCTACAGAAATTAAATACAAGGTGTACAAAAATAAATTGACAATTATAATGAGGCAAGCAAAGAAAGAATACTACAACAAGAGACTTGATGAGAATAAAAATGATTTAAAAGGTATGTGGAAAATCTTGAATCAAATGATAGGAAATGTGCATGTTTCTACAGAGCTTCCCACCCATCTTATTAATGACAGCAAGAAAGTTATTAAAAATATGAATGAAGTTGTAAATGAATTTAATTCATTCTTTGTAAAGGTGGGGCCAAGCTTGGCCAATGCCATTCCACATGAAAATGGGCAAGAAGATGGTAGATATGAGAGAGGAAGTAAGATAATGCAGTCCATGTATTTAGAGGAAGTGAGTGAAGATGAAATCATATCCACTGTGGTTAAACTAAAGAATAAAATATCAACAGATAGTGATGGGATAGATATGAGTATTGTGAAAAAAACTATTGACTGTATTATCAAGCCCTTAAGGTATATTTGTAATCTTTTGTTTAGTGCAGGTGTTTTCCCAGATCGTATGAAAACTGCCAAGGTTATTCCTCTTTTCAAAGCTGGAGACAAACATGATTTTACAAATTATAGACCGGTGTCGTTACTCCCCCAGTTTTCAAAAGTGTTGGAAAAGTTGTACGTACAAAGACTAGATTCATTTATTGAAAAGAATAATCTGCTAAGTGACAGTCAGTATGGTTTTCGAACCAAACGGTCCACAGCATTAGCACTCATGAGAATAACTGAAGAAATAACACAAGCAATAGATGATCATAAACACACAATTGTGGTTTTCATCGATTTAAAGAAAGCCTTTGATACAATCAATCATACAATATTAATAAGCAAATTGAAAAACTTTGGTGTGAGAGGTGTTGTACTAGACTGGTTGATCAGTTATCTTCACAACAGGCAGCAATATGTTATGTTAGAGGGTTATAAATCAGAATGTATGAAGCTGGAATGTGGAGTACCACAGGGCTCAGTTCTGGGACCCAAACTTTTTATTTTATTTCTTGACGATATTTGTCAAGTGTCTAATTTAATGCATTTTGTGTTATTCGCAGATGATACTAACTTTTTTTGTTCAGGGGATAATTTAAATGAGATAGCAAAAAATATAAAAAATGAGATGGTTAAAATTAAAAAGTGGTTTAATAGAAACAAGTTATCGTTAAATGTAAAAAAAAACCAAGTTTATGATTTTCTCTAATCGAAAAAAGAATGAAATTCAACTTACTATAGATGATATAAACATTGAGAGAGTTTATGAATTTAGGTTTTTGGGCATCATATTAGATGACAAATTGACATGGAAAAACCATATATCACATGTAAAAGCCAAAGTGGCTAAGAGCCTTTTTATTTTGAACAAAGTAAAATATGATTTGGATACAAGCACTTTGAGAATGTTGTATTGTTCACTGGTTTTACCATATTTTACTTATTGTTTGGAAGTATGGGGCAATACATACAAGACGAATATTACTCCCCTGATTAAGTTACAAAAAAGAGCATTGAGAATTATTTATAAAGAAGATTACAGAGCACATACCAATAGACTTTTTATGTTGTCAGGTTTACTGAAAATAACACACTTAAGGGAGCTAAGAACACTTCTGGTGGTGTTCAGAGCGAAAGACAAAGTTTTACCAAAACAGCTGCAAGGGTTATTTGAAATTAGCTCAGAGAGTGAAAACCTCAGGAGACCATATGATTTTAAACACCAGTTTGCTCGGACGACGCTAAAGCAGATGTGTATCTCTGTTGCAGGTATTAAGTTATGGAATTCGCAAAATACTGAGTTGAAGAGTTGTACAACAATGTTTTAGTTTAAGAAAAAGTTTAAAAGAGGGAAAATCAAAAATTATGAATTGGATGAAGTGGATGACTGATAATGGGTCAGTTTGTTTGTTTTTTTGTTATTGTTTGTTTTGTTTTTTGTTTTTTTTTCTTTTGTTTGTTTGTGGTATTTTTTTGACCTTAACTATATAATATTTTGATCAATTGCTGGCTGGTTGATATAGATAAATGTGTTGTAGTGAAGGGGCAGTCGTACATAAGACTTGTATTCTGTCTGCTCCTTTTCATTTCACATGATAACATGAGAAAAAAAAAAAACTAAAATAAAAAAAAGGATGAGTGCAATGTATTATATCATGTATCATGAATGAAATGAAATAAATAAACATGAATGAATAAACATGAATGAATAACTAAAATCTCCTACTTTCTCTCCACCTTACAATTTTTTCTCTCCATTTCACTCTTCTTTCTCTCCACTCTGCAGTTCCACTATTCTACTCTGTGCTTGTGACTTGAGAAACGCTCTCACAGGGTAAAAAACAGCAGACTATTTCCCAGTTGACTGCACAAATATGTATGGATGTTATATTAACTTTTGTTTTAGTTGTTGCTAATTATTCGTTATTTCACGGGTCGCTACGACGAGTTTGGTGGAGTTTTGCTGCTCCCTCAAAGTGTCTTGCTCTGTCTTGAAACCTGACACTACAGTCTCAGGCTGCTCAGTGCATCTTGGCTCATTTGCATAATGAACAGTGGTTGGATGTTTACTGATGGGGAGGGAGGGACGGGGGAGGCGATCACTGACTGCAGGGTGTGTGAAGACCATAAAATGGACTATGGAAAACTTGGTTCCGCCTACCATCTGTATATGGATTTGAAGCCAAAAAGCTCTCGATATTTCCGTGATTTTTCCTCATTTCCTGAAACCAGCGATGCGCTGCGCAGTAGCGATGCACGCATTCGGCCACGCAGTCGTCGAGAGTCACTGTGATGACGCTTGGCTCAAACAGCGTATCCCCCCGGGTGAGCTACACAATCCCTGAACGCCCATAGGCTGTATCAGGTGTCAGTCATAGAAAACATGAACCCCCTAATAACTTTTAAAAATGGAGCTTCACAGAAAAAAGAGGACTTGAGCACAAACCAGTCTTACAATAACTACATGTCAACATCACAAGCAAGGGGGAGAAAAATTTATGTTCTGTGTAATAAATTTCTAAAGTTTGTCCACAGCCCCATAAGCTTTGCTGGCAGAGGCGGGATTTATGACCTATACTGCAGCCCATCAACAGAGGGTGCTTTTCTGGGAGTGGCTTCACCCAGCGAGGAGGCAGACTCTTACCATTCTATATACAGTCTATGGTGAAGACACGCTGCACAGAGATGAAGGGATGAGAGATGAGCGGGGGCTGATAATTAACATGCTTTTTCGGCGGATTTTCCCCAGCATAGAGCCTGCCCCAGCGTAGAGCTGGCCCCGGTTAGGATATGAGTAATTAGGGACTACGTTAAATTCATTGGGTTGCTCCCACTGCTACCTGGGATGCTACCTGGACCTCATCAACCACCACTAACAGAGCCCCAACCATGGGTAGATGGGCCTCATCTTTGGCTAACTGGGCCTCATCTACAGCTAGCTGGGCTACAATTACTGCTACCTGGGCCTCAACCACTTCTGGCCAATCACAGCTAGCTAGGCTCCAACCACGGCTAGCTGGGCCCCAACCACCGCTAGCCAGACTTCAACCCCAGCTAGCAGGGACTCAACCACAGCTAGCCGGGCCTCAACCACCGCCACCTGGGCCTCAACCATCACTAGCAGGGCCTCAACCACAGCTAGCCGGGCCCTATACACCGCCAGCCAGGCTTCAGCCACCGCTAGTAGGGCTACCACAGTTGCCAACAGGGCCTCAACCACCTTTAGAAGGGCCCCAACCACAGCTAGCCGAGCCTCAACCATCGCTAGCCGGCCTCCTACCACTGCCAACAGGGCCTCATCTACCGCCGGCTGGGCCTCAACCACCACCAGCAAGGCCTGTACCACTGCTAACAGGGCCTCAACCACCGCTAGCCGGGCCTCAACCACTGCCAGCTGGGCCTCAACTACCACCAGCAAGGCCTCCACCACTGCTAACAGGGCCTCAACCACAGCTAGCCGGGCCTCAACCACTGCCAGCTGAGTCCCAGTAGCCAAATATAAAGACAAAAATGAGAAATCCAATTATGAAGAAACACCGTACAACAAAATTTTTTCAGACACTTAATCAAGCAAGGACAATCTGGGACCCACATTTAAAACCCAAAGGGTTACTTGGAGGTCATTTGAATTTAAGAAGCATGATTCCAAAGCGAGAACAACTTGAGCACTTCATAATTCAGTCCAACATAGATTTTATTGGGTTAACAGAAACATGGTTGACAAGTTCTTCACCTAAGGCTGCTACACATATGATGGGTTACAGTGTATTCAGGAAGGACAGAGGTGAGGGCAAAGGAGGGGGGGTTCTTGTTTATGTGAGAGATACCCTTCAATGCTCACAAATTGTATGGCCTGAGGACATCACACTTGAATGTGTGGGAATAAATATTGTCCTCTCAAAGGAAATGAATTTTACTGTTATCTGTATTTATAGGAAACCATCATCAAAGATTGATTTTTATGACCAACTAAAAATGCTTCTAAACCTCTGCAGTTCCAGTAAAGAGGTGATCTTGATGGGCAATTTTAATATTAACTGAGATAACAAGAAAGAAAGAAGCAAATTAAAACAAATAACAAACCTTGTTAACGTGGTCCAATTAATTGAAAACCCCACTCGTATAACTAACCAGTCTAAAACAAGAATAGATTTAGTATTTGCAAATAGGTCCGAAAGAATCTTGAAAAATTTTTTAACTGGCCTTTCTGACCATAATGCTATTTTTTTCACAAAGAAATTGAGCAAAACGCGAACTCGCATGTCTTGTAGAAATTCAGATGTTACCTTTTTTCATGAAGTAGTCCCGAAAAACAAACATCACAATCTGGCTAGAGCTATACAGGAGATTGATTGGAATGAAATTGTCTCATGTGATGATATTTCAACAAAAAGTATGAACTTCTACACCAAAATAAAAAATGTAACTGCTCTATTTACAAAAAGAATAAAGAAAAATCAGGTCAGTAAAAGTGATTTGCCGTGGCTCAATGACGAATGCAGGGCCCTAATGAAAACTAGGGACCAATTACTAAAAAAATCTCTTAAAACTGGTCTTGTTTCTGACAGACATTGCTTTACATCAATGCGAAATAGAGTAATTCAATTACTGCTCAAAGCCAAGGCAAACTTTTACATGTCAATGATTGAGTCCAACAAAGGTAACAGCAAAAGAATTTGGCAAACAATAGATAAAATGACAGGTAAGATAAATAAAGGCATGGAATTAGAATTACAAATCAATAATCAATTGGTGAAAGATCCTCTTGTTGTGGCAACTGAATTTAATACCTTTTTTAAAAATTCAGTTTTGGAAATCTCACAACTTTTTTCTCCACAGGAAATTATACCTTACTCTGTTAATAAGTCCTCGCCTCTGTTCACAATAGCAGAAATAAATGAGTCTGATGTAGTCTCTATTATAAATGAATTAAAACTGTCTAAAGCTAAAGATGTATATGGTCTAGACACCAATTTCCTTAAGACACACAAAGACTCATTAATATGCCCAATCACGCATATGATCAATCTGTCAATTAGAAACTCTGTTGTTCCCATGGCATGGAAAATTGCCACGATTACTCCCATTCTTAAATCTGGGAACAAACTAGATGATAGGAATTACCGGCCTGTAAGTATTTTACCCGTAATTTCAAAAATTATTGAGAAATGGATTGCTAAACAATTGCTAAACCACTTGAATACTGCCGGAAATCCTCTTCACTCAATGCAGTTTGGTTTTCGTTCGAATCACTCAACAGAAACTGCAATAAATCTTTTTGTTGTCAAGGCTACTAAAATTCAATTTTCAGAGCAAGCTATTCTCTGGATTAAATCATATCTGTCTAATCGAACAAATTGTGTATCTGTCAGTGGTGTCAAATCCCCCTATATTGACAGTCAAGTTGGAGTTCCTCAAGGTTCCATACTTGGGCCTATTTTATTTTCCTTATATATAAACGATTTGCCAAATATTTGCCAAAATGTTGACACACAGCTCTATGCAGATGATGCTATAATTTTCACAAAAGCAACGTCGGATGAAGAAATATCAGGAAAATTGACATCTGCAATAAACTCAGTGGACAAGTGGCTCACCAATTCATGTCTTCTTCTAAATTCCAAAAAAACTGTCTGTATGGTATTCTCAAAGCGTCCAAAAGTGCGGTTAAGTTCAAATATATTTGTAAAGGGTGAGGAGCTCCTGCTTGTACATGAATTTAAATATCTTGGTGTCACCCTTGACTCAAACTTAACTTTTAAAAAACATGTCAAAAAATTACGTAATACAGTGAATTTCAATCTCAACAATTTTAGACATATCAGATCGTCACTCACAGAGAGGGCTGCAAAAATGTTTCTGCACTGTATGATTTTCTCCCACATAGAATACTGCATCACCAACTGGTCACTGACAAGCCCAAGCACACTAAAACCAATAGAATCTCTCTTCAAAAAAGCTGTAAAAGTATTGGATAGGAAACCATTTCTCACCCATCACTGCCCTATTCTGCAAAAACACAACATTTTAAGTTTTGATAATTTTAAAAAGTTTAAACTTGCTTGCTCCATATATAAGATCTTGCATGGACTTGCTCCACCACCTCTGGGTGAATTCATCATGTTCAGGTCCAGCACCAGTGGGAGAACAACCAGAGCCTCCACTAGAGGTGACTGCGCAGTGCCACACAGACAAACAACCTTCAGTAAGCAGGTGTTATCAGTCAGAGGTACGGAGGTCTGGAACGAGATTCCATCTCCAATAAGAGGCTGTACCACCTTTAACACTTTTAAAGTTAATCTAAAGAAGTGGCTGAAAAGTAAGCAGATCTGTCAGCACTAATCTTTAAATCAAATCAAGCTTTTAGCTTTCTTGGTGTGTTTTTTTTTTTTTTTTTTGTTTTTTTTTTATTGGTGCATTGATGTGTGTCAGTTTAATTTTCTCCTTGTATCGTTATTAATGTTATTTCTTTTGACCTGCCAGGGACTACAGATGAAAAGTAGCCTTTGGCTAATTCTGGCATATTTACATTTATATGTTCATTAATATGTGCTGTCCCTTCTAAATAAAATAAATAAATAAAAAATAATAATTTAATGTGATTAATGTGAGTCAGCAGGCCTAATAGTAGTCAACTCTAGTTTTATGTTATTAATGTCAGTGAGGCTGATGTTCATGTCTGCAGTAACGGTCCAGAGCAACCCAAGAGAAGAAGGAGCTCAGGGCCTGAGGCAGACAATCATAGACGATGCGGCTGAAGTCAGGCAGGTCTGCAGCAGCCATGAGTCCAGAGCAACCTAGGAGACTGGGGCTCAGAGACATACAGAGAGATCTGGTTAGCAATTTGATGGGAGCAAATGACTTCAATGTACAGGATAATGAAGGAACTAATTATGGACTATATTAAATTAATTTAGGCTGATTAAAGTTAAAACTCAGTGGCAGTTTACTCTAATTTTATTTTATAGATGTCAGTTAGGCTGATGTACGTGTCTGCAGCAACGGTCCAGAGGAGCCTAAGAAATGGAGGAGCTCAGGGCCTGAGGTGGACAATCAAGGACGATGCAGCTTGGGTCAGGCAGTTCCATGGCAGACCGTCTGCAGCATTAGTCCAGTGGAAGATAAGAGACTCAGAGACACTCAGAGAGACAGAAATCTAGTGACTTATATGGGACATAAAGATCTAAAGGAGAGATAGAGACAGACTCTAGCTCAGTGTGCCAGATAACCCTGGCAGTCTAAACCTTTAGCAGCATAACTAAGAGCTGGTTCAAATCAGCCCCAACTATAAGCTTTATCAAAGAAGAACGTTTTAAGTCTACTCTTGAAAGTTGAGAGGGTGTCTGCCACCTGAACCTCGAGCGGTAAATGATTCCAGAGGAGAGGTGCCTGGTAGCTGAAAGCTCTTCCTCCAATACTACTTTTAGTAGGTACAATGAGCAGACCTGCAGACTGTGAGCGTAATGGTCTAGACGGAAAGTAAGGTATAACAAGCTCGTCGAGGTATGATGGAGCCTGGCTGTTAAGTGCTTTATATGTCTTAAGGAGGATTTTAAACTCAATTCTAGATTTAATAGGGAGCCAATGAGGAGAGGCTGAGACAGGAGAGATTTGCTGCCTTCTTCTGGTTCTGGTCAATATCCGAGCTGCTGAATTTTGGACCAGCTGAAGAGTCCTTAAGGACTTATTGGAGCAGCCTCATAAAAGAGAATTACAGTAATCCAGCCTAGAGGTAACAAAGGCATGGACTAGTTTTTCTGCATCACTCTGAGACAGGATGGGTCTAATTTTTGAGATATTGCGCAGGTGGAAAAAAGCTATCCTAGAGATTTGTTGAATGTGGGAGCTAAAGGACAAATCCTGATCAAATTAAACTCCCAGATTTCGCACAGTGGGACTGGATGCCAGACTGATGCCATCTAGCGTAGCTATATTATCAGAGAATGCCTCTGTAAGGTGTTTAGGACCGAGGACAAGAACTTCAGTTTTGTCTGAGTTGAGCATCAGAAAGTTATTGGTCATCCGGGATTTTACATCTTTGAGACAAGCTTCTAATTTGGTAACCTGATTTGTTTCTTCTGGCTTCATGGATAAGTATAACTGGGTGTCATCTGCATAAAAGTGGAAATTAATCAAGTATTTTCTCATAATTTTACCCAGAGGAAGCATGTACAAGGTAAAGAGGATCGGTCCAAGCACTGACCCTTGCGGGACTCCATAGCAGACCTTGGTGAGCGCAGAGGATTCATTATTTACATGGACAAACTGGAATCAATCTGTTAGAAAAGATTCAAACCAGGAAAGAGCGGATCCTGCTATGCCGATAGATTGTTCCAGTCTCTGAAGCAGGATGCGGTGGTCAATCGTGTCAAACGCAGCACTAAGATCCAACAGGACAAGAACAGAGAGAAGACCACTGTCGCAAGTCATGAGTAGGTCATTTGTCACCTTCAGCAGAGCAGTCTCTGTGCTGTGATG